GTCGAGCGCATTAAAAGCAATATATAATGAGATTAAATGCCGTTGGTGATTGTTTATTTCGTAGTGTAAGACATCAGCTTTTCTAGGTTGTCAGCGACCCTATATAGTTCTTGCAGAATCTTTTTCAATTTGAAACTTCACACTATCCTTGGATCCCTAGTTCTGTGTTGGTGTTATATACTCAGGTGAATATTAAGTTTGTGATGTTACTCTAAGTGTATATCCACACCGGTGTGGATATACATTCAAAGTAACATCACAAACATTATTACATTCATGATCATAAAAAACATACTGTTATCAAAAGAACTAGATTGAGTTTCGAAATATCACACACTCAACCGACTTTACCTTGTAGCTCAGGGGTCGGTTGTTCAAAGGTGGGTTAGCGCTAACCCTGGGTTAAAATTTAACCCGCTGTTTTAGTTTGTGTATTTCTGCACGTCTGTTTATTTCAGAACTTCAGAAAAATAAATTCCTATCGATCCAGACAAGATTTCTGAAGAAATATTTCCAAATTTATAGACAAGCTGTCAGGAAGTTTGCTTTGAATTTTAGGTTAACCTAGGGTTAAGCTAACCCAGCTTTGAACAACCGGCCCTAGTTGAGTAACAGCTTAGCATACCAATAGGGTTTCGTGTCATAAATTATATTAACGAGGCTATTCATACGCTTTCGTCCTCATATACCATGTCTTTTCGTATACCAAGCACCTTTCGTAAATGGAAGGGGAAAATAAACTAGATTGTCCCAAATTTACCTAGATAAACGGAATATATTGAAATACTTAATAAAAGATGTCATTTTTTTTTAATTAAGGTGCATAGAAGAAAGGAATGAAGAAAAGAATGAAGAAAAGAATGAAGAAAATGAAGAAGCTATGGAAACTGAAGTAAATGAAGAAGCTATGGAAACTGAAGTAAATGAAGAAATGATGCAGTGAAATTACTCATGTATGTGGGTATTGTTTGTATGGGTGGGTTTCAGTAGTGTAATATGGAGGTTCAGATTTGACTTTCACTACCGCTAACATTAAGGGACCATTAACCAATCAAATGCGTTTGATATATCCGATTAACCAATCAGATACGTTTGATATATCTGATTAACCAATCAGATGCGTACTAAGCCAGTGAGAGGTGGCGGTAGTGGAAGTCAAATCTGAACCTCGATATTACAGGGGAAGCAGATGGTGGTCAACTTCGGAAATATTAGCACTTATAGAAAAAACAAATTTTTAAATTTGCCACTGATTACTGGGTGGCCAACGATTTATTGCTATTCGTAGATTCATGTACGCGTAGCGTACCTATTTTTATCCATTCCTATTGTGTCTAAAATTTCTAAAAAGGTAAAGCATTCTTTGTCAAACACACCGAGAGAGTTCATTGACAAATTAACAAATTTAAACAGAACTAAAGTGACCCCTTTAATCTTCAATTAGATCTTTAAGGCTAGTTTCCACTCAAGAAAATTATCCGTGGATTGGAACGGACAAGAAAATTTCTCTTTGTGTTAAAGTCATTAGTTCCAACCCAAAGCTCACAAGACAAAGAAAAATTTTCTTGTCCGTTCCAATCCACGGATAATTTTCCTGAGTGGAAACTAGCCTTTATGTGTAGCTTTTTTGCGTTCAAGGTTATGTAGATAGGTTAGATTCAAATCAGACAGTGAGTTCACTTTTCTCACTCTGATATCTGCTTGTGTTGACCACCTTTTGCTGCATGATAGTGCGTAGTGAAACCCACCCAAACTACTAGTAAAACATAATAAAAATGGCGACATGATCTTAAAAAAGTTCTTTGCAAATATAAATCGGCAGCGATAATGCAGTTGAAAAATGTTTCTGGAGTTGCAAATAGAAATTATTGGATTTGCTTGGTTGAAATTTTATTCCATTACGGGTACAAAACAAAACTATTATTTAAACTGCAGTAATCCAGTGTAATTCAGTGTATATACAACATGAACGGTCTGCTGTATTGTATATTTTATATAACACATACGCTAATGGAGTAATGCTGTGAATACCTTGTAAAATCATTAATAATTAATGAAAAACAAAACAAATCATGAGCGTGAAGAAGTTTGTATATGTGATACAGAAATCATGCTGATTTACATACATTTTAAGTTTATTTTCTCCCCAAATTCAATAATTTATTTTAAATTGAAAATACGAAAGTTCTCATCTTCCAGTCCCGAGAGCAAGCGCCTTTTACCTCTGAGATCGTGGGTTCGATTCTCGCTACGGACTCATGTGAAAGAGTCGGGCAACGCTCTGCCAAACGTCGTGGGTTTGCTCCGGGTGCTCCGGGTTTCCTCCCACAGGGAAAGTTGACAGGGAGGGCAGGATATATTAAGAAAGTAATATCACAATTGTTGTAAAGATAAAGCAGTCGAGGCTAAGTAAGTAATTTGGTGAGCGTGATACTTGATGTAAATCGCATTTGATCATATGCACATGGAAATTTTCGCTATAAAAATGCTAATCGTTTTAATCGTAATATAAAGTATTCGCGTCTGTGTTACAGACATACAACCTCTCGCCTTCGGCTCGAGATTATATATCTGATACAACTTTATCCAGTACTAGTGTTTGTCTTAACAGTTGCCCTGTTAACAGTTGACTGCTTATATTCAGTTGTGCAAATTTGTTTTCGTAATATAAAATCTGAATGGTTTTGGTCAATGAATAGTTGTGGTGTTATGTACTCAGGTGATGTGTTGCTCTCTGAGTGTGTCCACATCGGCTGAAAATTTTCGCTAGCAAACCAAAGGTCGCGGGTTCGATTCCCATCGCGGTCATGCAAAAATAAAATTTTCGGCTTGCCAGGTGTGGACCACTGATCTATATGAACACACTCAGAGTGAACAACATCACAAATAATTTTAATTTATTCTGCGTATACTCCCTTGAGTAACAGCTAATCATACCTCAGTATTTTACGGTTCCAGACGAATTGGGAAGCGGCAACCAATAGCGTTTCGTGTCATAAATGATATTAATGAGGCTATTCATACGCTTTCATTCTTATGTCATTTCGTATACCAAGCACCTCTCGTAATTGGAAGGAGGAAATAAACTAGATTGTCCCAAACTTACCTAGATAAACGGAATTTATTGAAATACTTAATAAAGATGTCATTTTTCTTTTTTAATTAAGGTGCACAGAAGAAGAAAATGAAGAAGCTATGAAAACTGAAGTAAATGAAGAAAAAATGCAATGAAATTACTCATGACTATACTATGTATGTGGGTATTATTGTATGGGTGGGTTTCAGTAGTGTAATATGGAGGTTGAGATTCGACTTCCACTACCGCTACCATGAAGGGACCATCAACCAATCACATGCGTTTCATATATTCGATTAACCAATCAGATGCGTACTAAGCCAGTGAGAAGTAGTGGAATCTGAACGTCTACATTACAGAGACAGCAGATGGTGGTGGACTTCAGAAATATTGGCACTTATAGAAACAAGCAAATTTAATTACATCTCTCAATCATATTTATTTGCCACCAAATACACTACTCTACATACAGTAGAATGAACATCATTTTCTTACTCTGATAACTGCTAGAACTTTGACCACCTTCTGCGGCATGATAATGCGTAGTGAAACCCACCAAAACTACTAGTAAAACATAATAATGCTTCCTGAGTTATCATACGAAGAAGCCTTGATGAAATGTAATCTCAAAACTCTAGAAGGTCGTAGACAAGATATGTGTGTTAATCTTATTAAGTTGCTGCTTGACCCTGGTCATAAACTGCATGAATTATTGCCACCTAAAGTTTGTGAAATTAGGAATAGAGAAACAAGATTAAGTGGAGATAAGTTTTATAATTTTAATGTCTGACTGAACGTTTTAAAAATAGTGCAATTGTCTATGGAGTCGAACAATATAATAATTTTAATAGTTAATAGTAGTTAGTTTTTAAATTAATAGTTTTTAGATTGAAATATGAGTATTCCTGTAAATAGAGTAGTGTATATTCTCATTCTTAACTGTAATTCGCATTATATCACATTTGTGTCGGTTTTCTTTGATCGTCCGAGGTTTATAACTAGCTTATATACCTTGAATAAATAATTAGATTAAACTTGTAGACAAAACGCGAGAATTTTTCATTAAAAATTTTTGAAAATGACAAAATATGTTAGAAAACCTCCACAAATGTGATATAAGTTAGTTATAAACCTCGAAAGTCGGTTTATAACTGATATATTGCCCTCGGACGCTACGCGTCCTCGGGGGCAATATATCAGTTATAAACCTCCTACTCGGTTTATAACTCTAACTTATAATTTAGTGTTTAACTACTTAATGTGAAATTTTAGAAAATAATAATAATAATTATAATAAAAATGGCGGCATGATCTTAAAAAAGTTATTTGAAAATATAAATGGGCAGCGATATACAGTATAATGCAGTTGAAAAATGTTTATGGAGTTGCAAATAGAAATTATTGGATTTGCTTAGTTGAAATTTTATTCCATTACGGGTCCTTGTGTGTAAAGGGTTTAAATGGAAAACAGCTTCTTATACACGCGTGTTACTATTGTAAACACAATTCGATTATGTAATCAATTAACATGAGCGGCAATCTCGTTCCCCGAGCCTGCGATCCTCGGGAAGGAATCGAAGGCTCTGGGATAATCCGTTACCGGAAGCCAAGAATCCTGGCTAAGATTGAACTACGCATTCCATTTCAATGGCCAATCAGATTCCTCCCTGAAACGGATTATCCCAGAGCCTCGCGTTCCTTTCCGAGGATCGCAGGCTCGGGGAACGAGATTGCATGAGCGGCTGTCTTGTATCCATTGAACTGTCTCGTACCCAGGCGCTTTGGTTTGTTTACGTCATTAAGCGCACGCGGGACGGCACGCGAGGGAGAAAAACGGAAAATTCGGCAGAAATCGATCAAATTAATCCACGCAAAGGCAACGCAAGCCATAGAACAGCACATAGCGCCTGGGTACAGGGCTCGAAATAACGGCCGATCAACGATCAATGATCGGCAGGAAATTGTTTTTGATCGGCGAAGAAGCAAGGTTGCCGACTTGCCGTACATCTTGATCGGCAAGAAATATATTTGACCATGATTACCTGTTCGCGGTAAAAGACAGGTGCAAAATTATTTTCCACCTAAACCAAACACTAATTTCAAGAAAAAATCATTTAGTTACAGGGGTGCGGTGGCTTGGAATAGTTTACCTTGTGATCTTAAAAGATCTCAAACCATTCAATGTTTCAAAAATAAGCTTTTTAATTGCAACGAAAGTAATAATAATTTTTATATATACGGCCTGGAAGATCACTCATTTTGTTTTCTCTCTGTATATATTTAGTTAGTTTTATATTGTGAAACAATCTCGTACCCAGAGCCATCGACGATGGCTCTGGGTACGAGATTGATTGTGAAATAGCTCCGTATTGAAATAAAGTTGTAATGATAAAAAAGTAATATAAAACAGTCAACAGTCTGCAATCCGAACCGCTATAAAAGACGATCGTTTTTGTTACAATAATTTCAAATTGATAGGATTTTTTGTTTTTAGTAGGATTTAGTGCGTGCGGGACGACGCCTTATCTCAATATTTGAGCAAATTTGATTTCAGCGCTTTTCACGGGATTTGGGGGCGGGGCGATGCAAGGGCGAAGTGAAAAATAGAAGGCCTAGTAAATTTCCCAATCAAAACTGCCCCAAACTTGCCCCGTTTAAGTTGCGGTCAACTTTTGCGTTCTCAAACCGGATTTTTTCGCAATCTTAAATTAAGCCATTTTGCAATCGATTTTAACGCGATTCTAAACCATCCCGTGACGTCACATTCTCGTACCCAGAGCCCTTCTTACGCGCGTTCGACTGAGCGCGACGAGGGGTCGGCGTTAGATCATATAGCGTTAACGTACAGTGACGTCAAAATTCTTAAGACCGGAAGTTGCTAGGATTTAGAATTTTTTTCCAAAATGACGTCAGAGGTTTCATATTATTGCGCGAAGTTAATTGCGCGAAAATTTAAAAACAACAATGGAGGATGCTTCAAGTGAATGCGAAGGACAGTTTTTGTTTCTTTCGAGGGATGAATTGTTTAATGCTTTTGAATATTTTAAGAAAGATACTTGCACTGGATGGCGTTGCGTCTTTAAAGACTCAAAATTTGGTACGTTTGGTGAACTGTTCAATAATTCATAACATGCAAATGAGAATAGACCATATTAATATACGGTACTACGGTAGCGACCAAATTTATACGAATAGTGTGTGGATCTATTAACAAACACATCATTTGACAGCAGTAGATCGACGGAATTCCCTCATAATTTACATTTAGACACTGCGATGTAGGTCAATCATACTTTCACACACATGTTTGAATACAGGCTTAACAGTCAATTTGATATAATCACCAAAGTTATAGTCTGTTAAAGTGCCTATGCGACAATGTTTTTTATGATTTAATTGCAAAGTTCATTTAAAATCATAATATAACTTGTTTTCTAAAACTTTGTAATCTTTCCTGTATGTCAAGATTTTCGACTTTGTTTGATATACAAATGTGACTTAAATGACGTCACACTGCATAATGAATTTTTAGAAAGAAAACGTTTCCTTACCAAACATGTGATAATTCCACTGACATTGAAAGTGATATACTTTAAGAGCTATCAAAGCGATCATTTCATCTGTAAATTTGAGATAATGAGAATTTTAACAAGCTACAACACAGTCTTTTGTAAAACGCATTATGCAGTGTGACGTCATTTAAGTCACATTTGTATATCAAACAAAATCGAAAATCTTGACATACAGGAAAGATTACAAAGTTTTAGAAAACAAGTTCTACTATGATTTTAAATGAACTTTGCAATTCAATCATAAAAAAATTGTCGCATAGGCACTTTAACTTTGTACTGTTTTGTACTATAACATGATAATATGACCTTTTTATATGGATGGATTTTAATATAGAGATGGATGTGAAGAAACTTATCGAAGAGGCAAAGAATGCATGCAGAATAAAGTGGTCAGTATCTGCCATGAACGATGGGATATGCAGTAAATTTGATGGGATTCCTATTCTGTCAGCTGGGACAATGCAATTTCACTGCCACCATGGATAATAAAATAAATAATAAAATAATTTATTTATTATCCATGCTGCCACCAAGGTGTTGATATAGACTTACCACAAAAAAATAAAAGAAAACAAATTAAGGATGACAAGGTATATTATATGAAATACATTCTATTTATTTTTATACATACAAACTTAAATAATACTTTGATTACCGTAAACTCCCTATATTAAGCCCCATGGGGCTTATTCTATTCAGGTCCTTTTGAGGGGGGCTTATTAGAGGGGGGGGGGGGGCTTATTTAGTTACCAACAAAATCTTAGATGATTTTCTGCAAAAACCAAACAAAGTCCACGTTTAACAATTATATTATAACGTGTTTATAGTACGTATTATAACGTATTGTTATTTGTATGTATAATGTATTACAGTAGTCCCCGCCAACTCGAACTCGCTTAACTTGAACTCCCCGCTAACTCGAACTAAATCCAATTTCTCTTGGATATGTTTTTATAGTAATTTACTCCACTTAACTCAAACTCCTCGCTAACTCAAACAAATTTTGTTTTCCCTTGGGAGTTAGAGTTAGAGTTAGAGGGGGACTACTGTATATCCATATGAAATTGGATATTTTGGAGCCAAAAATGAAAAATGAATGTAAATGTGGGG